CATTCCATTTCTTGCAAGTTAATGCATTATAAACGTGTGATGTAATTGACATTGGCGCATGAGCGACGAATACACATGATGACACCTTAGAGAACAAAAATAATAAACAAATTTCAAGGCCATAAATCGTAGGACATTATTGGGTGCCATTTTAGGAAACGATTGCCCTTTTGCTTTATTTCTAATCTGGTATATTGTGAGTAGTAAAGAATTAGTAAATCTAATACATACACGACTAAGCCTCAAATTTCAGCTGAATTATTACACTATCTTTCGTAATACATTAATGTGTAAAGTAATGTTAATTTGATACAGATAGTGTTTTTTGCGAAACAAATAGATTATTTCTTTAACCTAGCACGTACTTGGCAATGTGCTTGAAAGCACTTATTTTGCGATTATAATAAGCTGTGGTCTTATTAAGATATGCAGTTCAATTAAACAAAATTAAAATAGATAAAATGAAATTAGATTGGAAAAAAAACTCTTTGTAAAAGGAAAATAGTGCTGATTCAGGAAAAAGATGGAGATTGTGTTTAATGCTACGATATTTACTGTCTCTTAAAATGTACCACGATTAATATTGAATCTTCCAGTGCCTAACTATTCATTTACAATTAAATCATTCAGACCAAATTGCGCGACAATAGTGGAGAGATAGAATTAAGGAAAATTTCATGAAATCGTGTTCATGTACTACAGAACAGCGATTGGTTGTTTGCATTGGGAGCAATTAGTGATTATTATCTAGAAGTTAATGAAATTTAAATTCGCTATATTACTGAAATGAGATTAAGTAGAACGCAGTTAATGTTGTCTAAGAGGTGGACTACCACGATGAAGCTGTCTTTTGGTCGTAACAGGCGAAATTTTGGTTATTTGTTATTTTTTTATGTGAAGTTTGAAAATTACTCATTGTTCATGGACATTCGTTAGATTGAATCTGCATAATCAAAGATCGATTTGGTTAATGCATTTTAGAACTCCGTAAATCTATGAGGAATCTCATTTTTTGTTACTTTCTGAAGGAAAGGCTGTAGATAACCTATTCCTCCAAATATTAGAATTCCAGGAGTTGAGTGGGTTTTTTTGAATAATAACCCACAATGATTGAGAGAGAAATAAAGATGGATAAAGGGGGACTGGAAAACGATACACCTTCAGGTGACTTAATTCTTATAATGAAACGGCATTTAGAATATGAATTTCCCACGATAAATGAAATTTGCACCTCAATATTCGACAAATGGGGGGCTAATAATATCATAAAGCCTGCTATTTGAAATAATAATAATAATACTCGACAAATAAAAATCCTTTGAGCAAATCATTAACGAAACCACAGAGAAATATGTTTCGATCGCCTTGAGATTTCTTTCGATAACTTGGAAATAATTTTTGGCATTTTGAAATGTGACTGGATTAATGAATGGGGACCGCGAATAGAATACAAAAAAAATATTGAACTCCTCTAGACTTTATAAACATGGGTGTGAGTCATAGGGACAAAAGACGTTACGGCTGTTTTGTGGAGAATGTGTAAAGAAAGATTTTGCCAAATGAATAGAGAGTGGTCCTTCGAGCCAAAATTGGGTGAATTTTAATGCTTTCGTCTAAGTATAAGGAGCTTGGCTCACAACATTATCTCTCTTAACCCCTCAACGCACGAACAACTTTTTTTTTGAAAAATCACCAAACCGCACTCGCGCGTGTCTGATATCAGACTTATGCCACCAAAGTGATGAGTTTTGGTGGTGTATCAGGCTAACATGTTTCAAATAGCGGGGTGTGCGATAGACTTACCTCCACGTGGTGCACCCTGGTGGGTGTGCGATAGACTTACCTCCACGTGGTGCACCCTGGGAAACGTATACTCATACGGTAAAAAGTCTATTAACCGGAAGTTTGTGTGCGATAGACTTACCTCCACGTGGTGCACCCTGGGCAGCGTATTTTCTTACGGCAAAAAAGTCTATCACTCGGCTTTCGTTATATTCATACGGCAAAAAGTCTATTAACTGGCAGTTAACTACGATAGACTTACCTCCACGTGGTGCACCCTGGGCAACGTACTTTCTTACGGCAAAAATTCTATCACTCGGCATTCGTTTTTCAATAGACTTACCTCCACGTGGTGCACCCTGGGCAACGTATATTCATACGGCAAAGTCTATTAACTGGTAGTTGACTTCTCCGCATACGGCAAAAAAGTCTATTAACCGGCAGTTTTCTTCTCACTTCAAACTACCATGACCCCCCTATATGTCCTACATTCTCATACGGCAAAAAAGTCTATTAACCGGCATTTGACATGACTTCAAACTACAATCACCCCACTGTATGTCAAATTCGACTACTAGCTTCAAAGACAAAAAAGTCTATTGATCGGCAGTTGACTTCTGACTTGCAAAAAGTCTATTGATCGGCAGTTGACTTCTGACTTCAAACTACCATCACCCCACTCTATATCATATTCGACTATTTTTACAGTACTCACCTCACCTTTGTCCATATTCGACCATTTCACAGTACTCACCTCACCTTTTTTCTTAAATTCGACCACTTCAACAGTACTCATCTTACCTTTTCTCTTCGACTTCTCACTTCAAACTACCATCACCCCACTGTATGTCAAATTCGACCCCTTCCACAGTACTCACCTCACCTTTGCTCTACTGTCGACTTCTTCCACAGTACTAACCTCACCTTTTTTCTACCTATTTCTCACTTCAAACTACCATCACCCCACTGTATGTCATATACCTCTGACTTCAAACTACCATCACCCCACTGTATGTCATATTTCACCACTTCCACAGTACTCACCTCGCCTTTTTTCTACCTTAGCCACTTTCACAGTACTCACCTCACCTTTTCTCTGTCTTTGTATTACCCTTTTCTCCCCCTTTTTGTCCGTCTCCCTATTTGCATCTTTGAATCACTTTTCTGTTCCCTCTCTCGACTGCTTTCCACTTTGTCTATTACCTCCCCTCTGTGAAGCCTGAAGTCAACAAAAGGGCTAATGATAACTACCAAAATGCCTGCCATTTGATATAAATAAATAAATAAATGTTATAGCGCCGCTAGTTCTATGAGTCTAGCAACAATGGTACTCTTTTTGAAAGGCGTTAAGGGGCTAATGATTTCAAGTTTAATATTTGCCTCAATATAGCTGGAGTTACATCAATGCTATTCGTTCCTTAAATTGGATAAGAAGCTCAATAGTTAATAGAAGATTGAGTAACGCGTTCATAGAGAGAAATGAGAGAAGTGATTGAAACTCACCTCAAGTCATCTGCGGCCATACACTCGTCCTTTTCTGCAATCGACGCATCGAAGTTGATGAAAACAGGACAGATGCATACCCATGTCCGGGCAAGACCCCGTAAAGTAGTTTGAATTTTGAAAGTTGAGGCTCCATAACGAAATCGACGAGTATGCAAATGGGGACTACGATTTGGACATCAATCAGAGACTTCATCCGATACTTAAGGTGTAAAGATATAGGAATCACTTCCATAGTTTCCTTTTCTTGAGAAATATGGAGATCTCATCACATTGTCAACAAATTGAGCAAGTTGATACATTTAGACCCCGACGTAGTGGAACGCAGTGATACTTCTGGACACAATACCTTTTAGTGCACAGTGGAGCCTCATTATGACGACGTCGAATCAGCCAGGATCATATAGGAGACTTTTCAGATGGAACCAACAAGTCTGAGATCAAGGGACTGTGGGGAGAAAAGAGCGGAATCGATTGCTTAGCCTCTTCCACAGTTTGTGTAACCCCTTTGGAGGTGCAGGGTGGGGTGAGAAAAACGGTTGGCAAAACCGATTTCCTCGTGCTGTTAACGACTTTTAACCACTAGTACCCAGTTGCTTAGCACCTCAAATGAACACAAGTTCAGCTCGGAGAAATTTTGAGAACTTGATTATGTTGGATAATTTTGGAATTCTGTAAAGCCCAAAATTAAAACAACCCTCTTTATGACGGAATTCTGCTCGGACATGATGGTCTCGGAGACAGGCAGAGTTGGATCGACGTTAGACATGGAAGATTAAATAGCGAATGAAATTTGTTACTAGCACATGTCTCTGACTGGAAGCTACAACATCCTATTTTTGAGTCTAAATTAGAGTTATCCTAGGAAGATTATTACACTACTCAACGTACTTTGGTGATACAGCACATGCGTTCAATTAGAGCTCACGCGATGCCAACTATACAAGCTTATTCCTACCAAGGAAGGATTAATGGGCTTTCAATCTCGAACTGCTCTTTGGTATGTCGCGAGTCAAAGAAACTTCCTAATGCGAATTCTAGTCTTTCCAACCAAATGAAAATCTCCCACCAATACCTTCAGAGGCACCCGTTACTTGAAGTTCCATGTAGGCTACAGAAGAAAACATTCGTAACAAGGTGGCATTTTACCAAGAACACTATCGCCCTGATCAATAGCAACTACTGTTTTCCAATAATGGAAAGAAAGTCAGAACACAAAAAGTGGTTGCCAGTATATGCGCGAAGGCACAACTATCAGAGTTCATGCCGCAGAATCAGACTCATTGCTAACCGATCGATTGGCAGTTTAAGAATGGGAGGTCTATCACACTTACTCAAGTTAGGGGGCAGCTAGTCACTAATACTTCAGATTTAGCATACTAAATCGATTTTACCATAATTCTGCTCGAGAAAAAAATCCTCGACATCTTCTTTCCTATTTAAAAAAACGTGGTTCCATGAAGCAGTTTTTTTCAAAACAAGAGCCACAATAGCAAACACCAAAGTAGACATTGTAGTGCATTTTTTATATTAAATATTTAAAACGCATCAAATATTCAAAGAAAACAATAAAGGAAGTACACTATCTGAGCCAATACCCATACGTATAACATTGAAACAAATACGTCCACACAAGTACATCTAGATACACAAATAAGAGAAAAGACGAGAGAGAGAATTGGGGGAGCCAACAGCCGTAAAACAGATCTTTCCATTCACCTAGCCAGCAGAGCATGCAGCCCGAAGGTATTTAACAGACGGATACAAGTTCCCGTAGTAACACCAGCATTCCCATCTACCGCAAACCACGTCAATGGAATACAGACTACCAGGGCGAGAAAGAGCAGGCAGAAGAGTAGGAGGGCAATCAGACAGCCAAGGAAAGCTGCCACGTCGCCAACACAGCGTCCAAATCGATGGAGACTGAAGTTTTGCAACATTTCGCCTCCATCTCTCCAAAAGCACCATCGAAATCGACCACCATCTGACCAAAAAATTGCGACTAGACGATCAAAGGCACCGACGTTGTCCTCGTCGTCATCTCCATCCAGTTCCTGATCGTTATTGCACCGACGTTGATATCGGTTGGATCGACGTCGGGCCATATCTTGGAGACGTTGGCTATTGCTACGACCGCCAAATTGGGCTTCTAGATGGGGAGGAGGGTGAGATGAGGAGAGGGAGAATCGCACGCGTTTCCTCGGACTCAGGGGACTGCCGGGTTCAACTGAACCTAAAAAGCAGGTTGAAGTTATTTGCGATACCAAGAAAACATTTAAATAAAACAAGCAGACAAAATAATACTGATAGCAGTGAGTACAAATTTACACAAATCGACATATAATACAAGACAGAATGATGGATGTCCCATAAAAGAATTAGCACAACCAAATAAGACCTTATCTTAAAATCACAAAAATGAAAGTCTAGTATGAATTTTTATGTTATAAGTGGCAAACTTCCTAAATGCTGCTTTCAATTCACTTTTTAGGAAAGTCTTACCCATTTATTAATTCCAACCTCGATAAATCTACATTTTAACAAAGACTATCATCTAAGAACGAAAACAAAGTGTAGCGCTATTGCCTATTTTACATCACAGCAAGCCCTTGAATGCATGTATATAGTGGTTAATTCATGCAATAAAACCTACTCTCAATATATTTACGAAAACCACACACAACTATTTAATTCTAGACAGTTTCATAATGAAACCCTCCTTCTGCTTCTTCATAAATCAACCCGCTTTCAGTTTTATTTATTCATGAATAAGATATGAAATAGGGAATGAAATGAAATTGTACTGACCAACAGTAGAATAAACATTGTTCCATCTAGAAAAGAAAGTCCCTTGGATTAAATTACTAATTTTAAACCAGTGATACAAAGTGGCACACAAAAAATTATGAATTGGCATCGTTGCGCTGGCATTATTGAAAAGGATGAATGTTTTGGTAACCATCCGACAAGACCCTTAACCCGTTTAAACAACAAGTGTCGAAACAACTAGACAACACAACTGACACAATTAGTAACATTAGAAGGCCTTGAATACAGAGAGAGAATAATGGAGGCTATAATTGATGGATAATTAGAAATAGAAAAGCAATCATCTGGGGGGAATTAGTCAATCATAGTGCGAACAGAAAACGCATGGGAAGATTACCAATAATTTCGAGGCGAGGGTAGGGTTAAATATAAGCCCTCCATTAAACAAAACCATATCACAATCAAGAGGTGAAATAACGGCTTGACTACATGGTGAGGGATAAGGTCAAGTTCATTATGCACACAGCACTTAGAAACGGAATGGGGATTTAGCAACTGAGCTTACTTAGCTATCAATGAATCAAACAAAAAATTTTAGACGCGTAAAAAGGGCTCGAGGTTACACTGATTTAACGGTTGCCTCGAAGAGTATACATAGAACAATATTCATGCTTTGATGTGTGGGTGTACGATAGGCTTACCTCAACGTGGTGCGCCCTGGGAAACGTATACTCAAATGGCAAAAAAGTCTATTAAGCGGCAGTTGACTTCAGACTACCATGACCCCGCTATATGTCATACTCAACCGCTTCCACAGTACTCATCTTTCCTTTTCTCCGCTTTTATGTCCGCCTGTCTATTTACATCTTTGAATCACTATTCTGTTCCACATCGACTGTTTTTCCACTTCGTCTGTTCTTCCCCTCCACGAAGTCTGAATTCAGTTAAAGGGCTAATGATAACTACCAAAATGCCTGCCATAAATGCTGGTATTGAGGAGAACGCTAGTAATTGAGTAAACAAAGAAACGAGAATAAGTACATTACAGCTGAAATAAAACAATAGCTCTTTCTACAATAAAGTTGACATTGAAATTAGTTGATTTCTCAATACAGCACTCTTTGTGATGCTACATTGATTTAACTTCAGCAACATTAAAACGCTCTGGTCTCACAAAACTACTGACATCAATAGCTATTAAGTCTTACTAATTACAGTAACCTCATTCTTCTTGAAGCATTACAAACGAATTGTTGGCAACTATAAAGTAGATTTCTTTAACACAATCCTCGATGAGAAATGAGCAGTTCGCACAAGTTAAATAAACTGCAAGGAAGGCGAGACAATTTCATGACGTGCTCCGAACATGGTGAAACGCATCGATTAATGAAGACCAATTATTGACCCAGTCTTCTCCGGCTAACCACTATAGGAGCAAACCCTATAACAAGGGTAAAGGGAGAACCTTGGTTCATCAGTAAATGTCTGATTAACATAAGGAGGGAGTTAATATTTGGTTAATAAACTTTGCTATAAAGACTAAAACTTGATATGAATTACCAATGCATTGAGTCGCCCTAACTAGGTAAAATGATATATTTATTTCAAATGGCTGGGGTTTTGACAGTTATCATTAGCCCTTTAGCTGACTTCGGGGCGTCACAGAGAGGAGGAGGAACATCAAAGTGAAAGCAAATCGAGAGGGGGATAGAATAATCATTGACAGATGTAAAAGAGACAAACAGACAGAAAGGCATAAGAAAGGTAAGATGAGTACTGTGAAAGGGGTCGAATATGACAAACAGTCGGGTCATACTAGTTTGAAGTCAGAAGTCAATTGCCAGTTAATAGACTCTTTTGCCGTAAATGTATACGTTGCCCAAGGTGCACCACGTAGAGGTAAGTCTATTGCTCACCCCTGGGTAAAATGATATAGTCTGCTTTAACAGGCTTATGAACGTATATATTTATTCTAAATGCCAATATATTCAAGTAGAACAACTTCACCAGGATTAATGGATCTTCAAATGGGACTTACTGGGACTCTCGCAACGACTCGATTCGCCAGAAATACAATTCGATAGAAGCGGCGATTGATTTGAAGAGTCAAGATCTTCGGTAGCTTGGGNTTACTTCAAACTACCATCACCCCACTGTATGACATATTCCACAACTCTCACAGTGCTGATCTCATCCTTTCTCTACTTTTGTGTCTGTCTGCCTCCTCTACATCTGTGNTAATAAACTTTGCTATAAAGACTAAAACTTGATATGAATTACCAATGCATTGAGTCGCCCTAACTAGGTAAAATGATATATTTATTTCAAATGGCTGGGGTTTTGACAGTTATCATTAGCCCTTTAGCTGACTTCGGGGCGTCACAGAGAGGAGGAGGAACATCAAAGTGAAAGCAAATCGAGAGGGGGATAGAATAATCATTGACAGATGTAAAAGAGACAAACAGACAGAAAGGCATAAGAAAGGTAAGATGAGTACTGTGAAAGGGGTCGAATATGACAAACAGTCGGGTCATACTAGTTTGAAGTCAGAAGTCAATTGCCAGTTAATAGACTCTTTTGCCGTAAATGTATACGTTGCCCAAGGTGCACCACGTAGAGGTAAGTCTATTGCTCACCCCTGGGTAAAATGATATAGTCTGCTTTAACAGGCTTATGAACGTATATATTTATTCTAAATGCCAATATATTCAAGTAGAACAACTTCACCAGGATTAATGGATCTTCAAATGGGACTTACTGGGACTCTCGCAACGACTCGATTCGCCAGAAATACAATTCGATAGAAGCGGCGATTGATTTGAAGAGTCAAGATCTTCGGTAGCTTGGGGGAAAAAAGGAGAGGGAGGTTTGAGAATAGAGCCACGAATTCGTCGCCGAACCGTGGTGGTGATTTCGCATGACTTTAGATTGGAGATCTGCTTGAAAACTTTTGACTCCTGGGAATGGTGGTTCTGGGATGTCCGCACGGAGAAGGTCATGCCGGTGTCTTCTAAAATCCGATTTAGAATGCCAAATAAGCAAAATAGCAATTGAATAAATTGATATCGCTAATTAAAGGAAAAGGACAAGTTTCGCAGGCCAAAATTTTGAAACCCTATCAAACTACGGGCCAAAAACAATAGAAAGGGGAAAGCTTGAATTCTACTCTCAATGTCTTTATTGACGTAGGAGTGGATGGCAGTTGGCGAAGGATAAAGACGACTACATATAAATTTAGTGGTACAGCCTATCAAAATTTTCGTCTGTGAAGTCGTAGGTCAAGGGGGGGGGGAGAGTTTGCGATATCAAGCAAGTAGAATGACCAACCAGACTAATAAAAGACCTTTCTGTATATCCAAGCTGAGGGTGGGTTGGGGCACTTTCAATAGCAGAGTAGGAAATGAAAACCGGATAAAAACTTCTCTTTTAAATTCGAAAAAAAAACAAGTGGAGTTGATTTCCAAAACAATTTTTTTGAAGATATCCGCACCGAATCTAATGTCCACACTATTGATATGCGGGGATTCAACTGCCTACGTCTTTTCAAGACATAAGACAACTGCCAATTTAGCGCTGAAAGTCTTTGCTCACTAATGCTTTCATCGAGAAATCGCATAGAATTGGCTATTTTTAATCAAACTTCTGTGAAGTTGGGATTTGTGCAGAGGCAGAAATTGACCTTGCTCGTTTTCCATTGCTGTACTATGTATCCGCCTAACTAATGACTATAATGTGTACTAGCTTTAAATAGACGTATATTCATTAAATACTAATTCTATTTGAAGAGATCCGACCAATTTAAGGTAGTTAGATAAATAGGCAACGAGGCGTCTAAGAAAAATGACCGGTTGGAAAGTAACAGAAGGAAAAGCTCACCATCTTCGTCGGGTAGAAGGTTCACAGGGAGGTTGAGGTGTCGAAGTAGGGGCAAACTCAGGTTGGGTAGTTGCTTTGGCGATTGAGAGCATGAGCTATCCAAGTTGGGAGAATAGGACGTGGAGGGAACAGGTGTATCGCCATTGGATAAAATATGAGACGGGGCAAGGGCTTCGCTACCTTCAATGCGGCATAGATCTGGGGATTCGCGTCTCTTTGACTCCTGGTGAGCCCGCACTGCAAATGCCAAGCCCAGTTCACGTCTAAATACGTTAAAAGAAAGAAAAAATACAAACAGCTTGGACAACTGAAGCGAACCTGCATCATAACTGCTGTTAATATCATAAAGTGCTTTCGAATTATATAATTTCTCTGTGTATAAACTTCTCTCCGCCCATTACATAAGCTTTTAGTACCAACACGGCCAAAATGGTTTAATTTTACACAAATTGGGGCACTCAAGACATATTATTAGTCTTCTTCTTCATGTTCATGATGCACAACACGTTTATATGAGAATTTTAACGATGCTAATAGCACACGAATGAAGTTAAGCTTCCTTTCACACGCATGCATTACTTTATTATAGAGAATTGCCTAATCGCTTTTGTTTATCAACGCCAATGATTATTAGTGGATTAAAATCGATGCTTTAGAACTTAAATATTTAAAGTTTGAACCATTTAGATAATGGAAGATCACATTTTTGATGTATACAATTTCGAGCCTATTAAGGGCAATGTTAACAAAATATTTAGAGTATGTAGAATAACAGTACCAAGCATTCAACTAACTCCAGGATTACACTAGAATTAACCAATGCCGTTGATCATACACACACTACTGAATACACGCTCAGTTTAAGACCTCTGACTTGGAATATTATTATTACTATTGTGATTATTAGTTCAAATGGCATGCTTTATGATATTTATCATTTTTATAACTTATTTTTTTCAACGTGGTGCACCCTGAGCAACGTATACTCATACGGCAAAAAAGTCTATTAACCGGCAGTTGACTTCTGACTTCAAACTACCATGACCCCACTGTATGACATATTCTACCACTTCCACAATACTACATCA